TCTGCTAAACTGCGAAGATTGTCCGGAACAGATTGTTTAGCTTCTTCCAAAACTTCAATTAAATCCTTCGCTTTGTCAGACTCTTCAGGAGTAAAGAAAGTGTAACTTACACTCTAAAAAATTTCATTCATTTAAAAATAGAAATAATTTGTAAAAGGTTTACTGTTTTGTTTCTACGTCCAGTACGGCCAATTCGATGAATATAGTCTTTTGAATTATTTGGATAATCATAATTAATTACGTATTTGATATCATCAACATCTGAAAAATATTTTTTATAATTAGATTACTTTTAACGAGTTCGGATCAGGGATATCTCCTGATGCCGAGACTTTTTTTTTTTGACAAAACCCCGATCTGAAGAAAATTTTGAAACCATGACACGGCATTTTCCTCAGCCCGAGACATCCCTGGTTCAGTTCAGGTTCTCATAGTCATAAAAAAGAAACTGAAACATCACTCAGGAAAAATCCCAACTCTATTAGTAAAATTACCTAAACCACGAGCAGCAACATCAGTTGCAATCAAAATAGGCATTTTATTGCTCTTAAATTCTTAAAAATAAAAATGATAAATATATACTCATTTAATCTAAAAATTAACCTGAAAGAACCCATTCCCGTTCAGTTTGTGATTTATCTCCGTGTATGCACAATGCTTTTACACCTATAATAAATATAAGTTAGAAAATAGGGCATAGACGTTTTCAAACCATCACGACGCAAATTTCTAGTCAAATCATCAGCCTTACGTTTAGTTGCAACAAAAATTAATGTTTTGTATTCGTCCTACAATTTTATAAAAATAACTTTTTTATAGGAACTGTCACTAAAGGTGAGTCGGAACAATCAGAGGTGTCGGAAATCGGAAGCCGGAAATCGGAACTGGCTTAAAAGTCGGAACTCGGAAATCGGAAGGAAAAAACGTCGGAAATCTGAATCACCCCACCTCTGGCTGTCTGAAATCCCCCCACCAATCTGAATCCCCCCACCACAGCCTAATCTCATAAGCTCCAAAATATTTTCTAAAATTCCCTTTCCAATCAAAACTTTCTGACAAATAATTAAAAGAACCTCTTTTATAATTTTTCCAAGTAATTCCATAAAACGTTCTTCCTTTTCACGTTCATCAACAACTTCAACATATTGCTCAATATTATGATTTGCAGCCAATTCAAGAGAACCAACAGTTAAATGAACTGGATCTTTGTGAAAATCATTAGCTAATTCACGAACTTCTTTAGGCCAAGTTGCAGAAAACATTAAAGTTTGACGATCATTCTAAATTATTAATTTACTGTTTTTATGGGTTTTTTAAATTCTTCCGATTTGCTCAATCATCAAAAATTATTTCCGTCAATTTATTTATGAGATGACAACAGAGGTCGGTCGGAACTGACAAAGGTGCCGGAAGTCGGAAAAGGCTCAAAAGCAGGAAATCGAAGTAAATTTTCGAAAATCGCAAGAAAAAAATACCGGAAATCGGAATTCCGAGTGAACTCCGTGTGACAAATTTTTTGGCCAGGAGTTCGAAAGATGACTCAAAAAATTTAAATAAAAACATACACGAAGTTGGCCAATAATTGAACGTATTTGTGGTTCAAATCCCATATCTAACATTCTGTCAGCTTCGTCCAAAACCAAAAAAGTACATCTATTCAAATTTAATACTTTAGCTTCCAAAAAGTCCAAACAACGTCCAGGCGTTGCAATACAAATATCAACACCTTTAATTAAAAATATTTTTTAAAAAATATTAAAAAACCTCGTTGTAAAATATTTCCTTGAGTTAATTTTGAAGCTCCGCCATAACAACAAAATGCTGTTAAATTCATAATCTTGCAAAATTGAATGGCAACTTCCTGAACTTGAAGAGCCAACTCTCTTGTTGGCAAAAGAACCAAAACAGAAGGGCCATCACCGTGACGACGAGGAGGTTGACTTAAAAAAACATTTGTAGGTACTTTAGAATTTGAAAAAATGGAGGTGATGAAAATGCAAAATCTTTAGTCAACTTTTTCCTTATTAAAATTTTGATTTTTACCTCACAGACGAGAATTTTGAGAAATTTGGAGGGTCGTAGGCCAAAAAATAAACTTTTTTCTTCGCCCTCCCTAAATTTTTCTTTTTCCCCATTTCAGGGCTGTGGGTCAGGAGCGAACATATAAAAATAAGAAAAAAGTTTCCTAAAAAATTCCCAAGAATAGAAGCTACAAAAAACCTCATTGCATGCATGATTGCCGGCAGAATAAATCCAAGAGTTTTCCCTGATCCCGTTCTAGAAATAGAAATCATATCTCGACCACTTAATGCTACTGGCCATGAAATACACTGAAAATGATTTTGCAATTAAATTAAAAAATAAAAACAACCTGAATGCTCATAGGAGACTCATAATTTTTTAAAAGCAAATCAATTATTGGTTCTAAAAAATATTTTCTATTTTAAAAATTAAAAACAAAAATAAACCTGGAAATCCACTCTCAATAAATTCAAAAATTGGTCGCGGAACTTCCTGTCCTCGAATTATACATTCATTTTCTTTTAACCATTCTTTAATTGCTTCCAATTCACGATTTGTAACATTTTCATGTTCTCTGTACAAATCTTTTTTAATTTCGGGTAATTGATGTTTATTCCAATCAACAGGACGTAAGTTGCTTCCTTTTAAAATAAATTAATAATTACAAAAATAGATAAAAAAAAGTTTTCATGATAGCCTAACTAGGAGACATGGACTGGGAGTATGTACGAATCATAAGAGACGTACGGATTGTCATCTCGACCCTACCTAGTTAGTACCCGAGTTTTTCATTTCAATTTACTTTTGGGGTTACTGGCAACTTTAAAATTCCGTGACATTAATTGGACGGAAAGCGAGCCTGAGTGAAATCATTCACCAGCTTTTTGGTAATTTTCTCGGGTTATTATTTGGATAACAAATAGAAAAATGGCCTTGTATGCTAATGATAAACTTTAAATGTTTCGGGCCGAATTAAAGTCTAAAAACCAAAAAAAACCTCGAAGTGAAAAATAGAATGAAGTCAAATGCGACTTTAAATCTTTAACAAACCTGCAAAACTATTTTTCATCATTCGATTCCCTCCATATCCAGAAACATTAGGTCTGTATGGCCCACGATTCTGATAACTTTAAAAAATCAAATAAAAATCCAACTAAAAAATAAAAAAGATACAATTGAGCATCTCCCCCCACACGTTTTGTATTTCTCAAATTTTGAATATAATAGGGTCGTTGATCTCCATATCCCTCAGAACGATTCTCTCGATTTTGATATCGTTGTTGATTACCATATTGTGGCCGATCTCCTCCATAATAACTGGCAACGCTTAAACAAAAAGAAGTACGAGGTTGACGAAGAAATACAGAAGACAAATTAGGCTTAACAATAAACATTTCTAAAAAATATAAAAAATTTAATGGAGAAATATTCAAAATAATAATGTTAATGAATAACATTTTCGATATTTTTTAAGTCAACACAAGCTCAAAAATAATTTTATTTCAACATTCACTCACAAAAATATATACATTTATTTATTTAATAATTATAAAGAAATTTAATGTTCTTCCTTCTCTCAATCCCATCATTGTTAAAAAGACTCCAATTGAACTTCTTTTGAATGTTGTCAAGTACAACTCGCCAAACAAATGTTATACGGTCGACTTCTGTATCTGTTGTTGCTGGATCAAAGCTTCCACTAGTCAAAGCAATTCTTTTCGCCTCTCCTGGACCAAGAAATCCCACACCAGGTTTGGCTTTTCAACGTGTCGTGGTTCGCCGAAAATGGTAAACAATGGTATGTGAAGAAGCATTGACAATCTGCAATTTTAAAGATTATGGGTTTAAAATTAGCAATTTGAAAAAGAAAACTAACATCAATATAGGTTTTTGCTTTTTGTCCACAAACGGCCCAGTAAAAATTAGATTTTTGGAGGGGATATTGGTAGATATAGAGCAGGGCTGGACGCAGTTGCGGATTGCTTGTTTTTTGACTTGCGGTTGCGGAAAATTTGTTTGCAATTGCGTCCAGCCCGTATTTTGGAGGCACCCTAACCTCACCACAAAAATCTCTCTACCCTCAAAAAATTTTCCTTTTTTCTTACCATTTCGAGTGCTGTCAATTTGTGGAGGAAGAACAAATTTTCCAAATTTTTCTTCTAAACTTTCAGATTTGCTTCTTGTTGAGGTAAAGTATTTGAAAATATTGGGATTGCTGAAGAAGAATTCTCAATTATTGAAGGATCTTTAAAAAAATCTTTTAATTACACAATTTTTTACAACCATTATTCTGTTCCGCATGATTAGAGAAAGGAGTTTGCCAGAAAGTTTACTTCCACTTAAGCTAGGTTTGCACTAATTAGGAAAACATCAGAAAAGTTGTCTGGCAAAACAGCAACATCTTCCGCCTCCTATGAAAATAAGGACCCTATCCCAATATAAGGGCGGAATCGTTTTTTCCATTACTTTTCATTACTTTATAGAAATGGTCAATTTTCAAAGTTGATGTATGTTGATGTTTGCCTTAAAGAAGAATGGAGGACAGACGATGACAGAAACACGGACGTGTACGTCCGTTTTTGTCTGCCCGTGTTTTTCAGTCAGTGTTCGTCCGAGTTTTGTCTGTCCGAGTCTGTCCATGTTTTGTCTGTCCGAGCTAGTCCGTGTTTTGTCTGTCCGTCTCCGTCCGTGTTCTGTCTGTCCGAGTTCGTCCGTGTTTTGTCTGTCCGAGCTCGTCCGTGTTTTGGACAGACAAAACACGGACGAGCTCGGACAGACAAAACACGGACAGACTCGGACAGACAAAACGTACACTTCTGTGTACGTCCGTGTTTCTGTCATCGTCTGTCCTCCATTCTTCTTTAAGGCAAACATCAACATACATCAACTTTAAGGAAAATTGACCATTTCTATAAAGTAATGGAAATAAACGATTCCGCCCTTATATTGGGATAGGGCCAAAATAAGTTTCTTTAGTTTTAAGTGTGCTAACAAGAAAAAAACAAAAAAAATTTTTTTTAAACATTAAAAAACCTCAGCATTTCCATTTGAAGAACTAGAAGAATCATCCACTCCCTCAACTTCTTCCACTTCTTGGTCATCTTCTTCTTCCTCCTCTTCATCATCATCATTTATAACATCTGTATTTGTTCTATCAGAAACTAAAAAAAATTGTTAAAATTTTTTAAATTTCAAAAAAATCAAACCTTTGCAGGTTGACAATGCTTCTTCACATACCATTGTTTACCATTTTCGGCGAACCACAACACGTTAAGAAGCCAAACCTGGTGTGGGATGTCTTGGTCCAGGGGAAGCGAAAAGAATTGCTTTAACTCGTGGAAGCTTTGATCCAGCAACAACGGATACAGATGTCGACCGTATAACATTTGTTTGGCAAGTTGTACCTGACAACATTCAAAAGAAGTTCAGTTGGAGCCTTTTTAAGAATGATGGGATTGAGAGAAGGAAGAACATTAAAGTTCTTTATAATTATTAAATAAATAAATGTATATTTTTTGTGAGTGAATGTTGCAATAAAATTATTTTTGAGATTGTGTTGCCTTAAAAAATTACAAAAATAATCGTTAACATTATTATTTTGTTCAACACTTGAAAATCAAAGAATTTTTTGATTTTCCGTGTTAGAAGAGACTATAGAGTCCCGTATGATAATAATTCGATAATGAAACAAATTCTTTGATTTTCAAGTGTTAGAACATAATTTATCAATTTTTAAGGATTTTGAGGTTGGCCATAAGTAACTAAATTATATTGCATTGCAGCCGTATTGAATATCACCTGATCATGAGTTAAACCATCGTGCTAGAGAATTTTAGGATTATTAAAAACGAGTAATTTGATAAAATTAGGAATTTTTTTTGGGACACGCCCGACTTGCCGCGGGCCGACTTGTCGCGGCCGACTTGTCGCGACCGACTTGCCGCCGGCCGACTTGCCGCGAGGCCGACTTGTCGCCGGCCGACTTGCCGCCAAGCTTTTTAATTAACAACCCCCTTCCACAGGGCCTTCGCGGAAAAAAGTTTTTGCCGCTGCGGAGGAAGCCGGGCATGTCGAGCGGAACGACGGCCGCCGCTTCGCTACGGCCGCCGCGAGCGAAGCGAGCACGACCGCAGCGAAGCACGGCCATCGTGTAGCGAAGACCATGCCCGGCCTACCCTCCGTAGCAGCACAAAAACAGTTTTTCCAGCGAAGATTCAGTTGGTCATAACTTTGTTCAGAATCATCCAATCGAGCTGATTTTGGTGTTATTCAACTCAGCTCGTCGAGCCCGTTCGAATGACATATAAATTGTCCAATTTTGAGTCTGGTATGGAAACTAGTTAGGGGTTTTTAATTTTGGAAAAAATTTTCGAAAATTTTTGTTTTATAATTCAGCATGGTCCCATTTGATGGTCGTTGGGACCATTCTAATTGATTATAAATCAGAATATTTAATTAAAAAGCTTGGCGGCAAGTCGGCCGGCGACAAGTCGGCCTCGCGGCAAGTCGGCCGGCGGCAAGTCGGTCGCGACAAGTCGGCCGCGACAAGTCGGCCCGCGGCAAGTCGGGCTGTACCCATTTTTTTTATCAGTAATTAAAAAACATTTTGCCAAATAATTTAATATTTTCTGAACGGAAATATGTATTACTGTACTTAGGGACACGCCCGACTAGTCGCGGGCCGACTAGTCGCGACCGACTAGTCGCGGCCGACTAGTCGCCGGCCAACTAGTCGCGCGGCCAACTAGTCGCCGGCCGATTAGTCGCCAAGTTTTTTAATTAAATACTCTGATTAGTAACCTGCAAAATTATTTTTCCGGGCCTGGAAACCGGATTTTGGGTAAAATTTCGGTATACGACACAGACGCCGATTAAGTCGAATGATATGTCATTCGAAAGAGCTCGTCGAGCTGATTCTAATGACGCCAAAATCAACGAAATCTGACTTGATTTGACACAGAAGGTTTTCGCGGAAAAAAGTTTTTGCCGCTGCGGAGGAAGCCGGGCATGTCGAGCGGAACGACGGCCACCGCTTCGCTACGGTCGCCGCGAGCGAAGCGAGCACGACCGCAGCGAAGCACGGCCATCGTGTAGCGAAGACCATGCCCGGCCTACCCTCCGTAGCAGCACAAAAACAGTTTTTCCAGCGAAGATTCAGTTGGTCATCACTTTGTTCAGAATCATCCAATCGAGCTGATCTGATTAAAATACTATTAATCAGATAGTATTTTGAAGAATATTTAATTATAAAACTTGGCGACTAATCGGCCGGCGACTAGTTGGCCGCGCGACTAGTTGGCCGGCGACTAGTCGGCCGCGACTAGTCGGTCGCGACTAGTCGGCCCGCGACTAGTTGGGCTGTACCCCTGTACTTATGATTAATTTTTGATTTTTAAAAATTTTTTTCTAAATAAGATTTCCTACAACTACATTAATATTCTATAAACTTTTTAACTAATATTTTTATGTTAACTCGATCCCTCGCTATTGGATTTGCCCGTCTGGCTGAAAAGCTTGTAACTTATAATGAGACGAATCTTAAATTGAGGATATCTCTTAGGTGAGTATTGTAAAGCATATAGCTATTTATTTCCTAAGCTGTGCAGTATGAAGCGTGGTGTAATGGTATTTTTTCTATAATTATTAAAATAAACATCAGTCCTGTCTACTGAAGTTGCTGGTTCGCTCCCAGCCGCCGAATAACCTTTTGCACTAGCTAAAGGAGAGAAATAGCTGTAGCCCAGCTGCTTTACTGTATCTCCGATAAACAAACTTTTTAAAACGTCTCTTAAATAGTGGTTTATCTAGTTTTTGGTGTATCTTATAGTCAGGCTTTACTATATTCAAATTTCTTTTTTTTACCTTAAAGTTTTGATTTTCCCCAGCAATACTGCTGGCTACACGTCCACAAGCTTGGTAACCAACTTTCTCATCACCCGTTGAAAATATTGTAAAAATAAAATTGCCCTCATATCTTTGCCTAAATTAAATTTTAAAAAATAATTTTTTCCCGCTTTAAACCTCGAATTAATATCATTTAAAAACTTCGAGCCGCAAGCCATTCCATTAATTAAATTACAACTTCCAATGGGAATAATACAAAGAAATGAGCCCCAATTAGCGCCGGCTACTCCAACAAAAGTGTGTATTAAATCAGTTAGTGGGGGCCCTAAATTATCGTTTGTATCTACACAATTGCCTCCCATTATTGCCTTGAAAATTAAAAAAAATTTCAAGAATTTTTTAAAGATTACTTTTCTTGCAATTGGAGATCCCATAGAAATACCAATTATATTGACTTTACTTGTGGTATATTGAGCAACTGTTTGTATCATTAAACGAATCTTTTTGATAAAAAAATTTTTTTTAGTTATTTTAATTACAACTGAACTTCATTTATAGATACCCCTCAGGGCTGAAAAAATCGTTTTATGTAGAGGGTATTCTCCACCGCCCAGTATCTAACCAAAATTTAAAAATGTCTCCTAAATGGAGGTGCATCTAGTATTGGGTGTATATTATAGAGAAGGTACCTTATAACGGTGTATCCTAAATAGAGGGTATCGCCTGATAAGGTACCCTACTCTGGACAACCAAAATTTTAAAAACGTCTCTTAAATAGAGGTGTATCTTGTATTGGGTGTATATTATATAGAGGTTCAACTATCTATTTATTAACCATTTTAACATAATGGCACTGCATTGTTACAAACAAAACATTTGTTTTCCCAGCATCTCCATATGTTGTTGCATAAACTTCTTCATCTCCATAACCATGAGTCTAATTTAAAATAAAATTTCTTTAAGAAATTTTTTTAAGATACCAAAAAATATTGTCTAATTTGTTCAAATTGTCCAGCGCTGTTTGTTATGCCATGAACTATAATTACCGGACGAAGTCTTTAAAAAATACAAATTTTAATTAAAAATTAAAAGGGCGAGATTTTAAAGGCAAAAATTTTAAGATTTCAGGAAGGTGGCACAAATGTCGGTTTTATGGTTTTGCTTATCGAGTTTAATTTAGTAACGGTTTCTAACCACCGGTCTTCGTTTTTAGTTTCAATAGCGGGTAATATTTAGTGTTAGCTTTACTATTCTATACATAACAGTCAAACCTACTATAAGATACTTCCAACCCAGGGTTTGGAATTTTGAAAATTTGGCCTGTTTTATACGAATTTTGGTACGAGCTTCCGAACACTGCTTCCAATACTAGCTAAATCCCGCAATACCTTCTATTTAACTTCATAAGGTATCATTTTCTCAACCCAAGGTGTATATTATAGTAAGGTTTGGCTGTTTGACAATAAAATTTCGTGCCTTGTCTGTTCCCCAACTTTATGATTTCCACCACCAAAACTTCCCCCAGTTCCAACATCTTCACGTGAAAGTTCCCTATCGAGTTGTTCTCCTCCATAATTTCTTAAAAATTCTCGAAATGACGACGAAAATGTTGCAAAACATTTTGGAATAAAAAATAAAATAAAAAAAATAAATAAAATATTTTTTAACAACATTTTAAACAAAAAAAAATTAATTTTTATTTGTTGATTAATCAAAAGAAAAATCAAATAGGGAAATATTTCTTTTTATTATTTCCCCCTTACTTTTTAACCTCCCCTCCCACCTATAACTAATTTTCTTAAAAAGGTTTTTGGGACAAAGCAATGAATAGAAAAAAGCTGGTTTTGTTTATTTAATCAATTAAAGAATATATTTTTTTAAGATAAAATTAAAAATAATTAAGAATAAATTTACTTCTCAACTAAAATTTATTTTTTGCCTCCTATATTTGGTATTTTTTTATTTATATTTTATTAAAAGTAATTTCCTTCAAAAATTATTTAACAAATAATTTTTCGTAAAGCCTCTAAAAAGTCCTCTTAAAATGGGCCCATTCAATAAACTAAGGTTGACTGTCGTCTAAAAACACTTGATATTTGGAAGGGAATTCGAAGAGTTTTCGAAGATCAGAACCTAAACTAAGACCACCAATACTATCTAAAATAGAGAGGGAGCCTCATTTGAAGAGGAGCCATTTTTAAAGAATGAGCTCTTCAGATTATTAAAAATTAAAATATTTTATAAAAATCTTTTATTATTTAATAATTTTATTAATTAGGTATTTTGAAATACAAAAAAAATTATTACTAAAAAATCATTTTTGTGGGTATATTCTTTTACTAAAAATCATCCAATATTCTTTTTTTAATAAATTATGAATTTTCAGATTTTTAAATTTAACATAAATCTATAAAATTCCTCCCCTTTAATCCAAGTCGTTTTCCAAAAATTTAATTTGCAAGCTTAATGATTATGTCTAGAAAAAGAATATACATTTCAACTAAACAGGAATATATTCTAAATATAAAAATTTAAAGAAAATTTTTTCGGTCCAAAAAATATTTTTACTTGGGCAGTTCTGCTTGGCATTTTAAACGTCTCCCTTCAATTTCCATTTTCCTCTCAATTTTCCTTGTTTTCATCTGTCTTGAAGAAGCGACGAATTTTCACAAAATTCTTTAAAAAATTTTTTTAAATATGTATTCTTTAAATTTAATAACACCTTTGGTGTTGTTGCCATTCTATACCAAGTACCAGCTTTGATTAAAATTAAATCGCCATATTCACTAAAAATAAAATCTTAAGGATTTATTAAAATAATATCGGAACTCCACACCCTCAAAGTTGGAAAATCGTACCTTATAATAAGGTGTATATTAAATAGAGGGTACGCTTATACAGGTTCTTTTACCCTGTAGCCAACTAAATTTGACAAAGCGTATTATAAATAGGGGGTGTATTTTAATATAGGGTATATCCCATAGTGAGTTGTATCTTATAACAAAGCTAGACAGCTCCCCAAAGTAGCTCCTTATCTTAGGCAGCCTCCCCACCAGGGCAGTCCGCAATTACGGACTGCGGCTGCGGACTTTAAAATTAGAATTGCGGATGCGGAAAATTTTTTTCACTTGCAGAGCCCTGCTTCCCAACTAGTAGTCAACTAGATTTTAAAAATGAATCTCAAATAGAGGTTATCTTATTTTTAAACAATTTCCTCTCCCTAATCAACAAATCATGTTTCCCTTCGTTTCAATTTTCCTACTAAAACCAACCTACCAAAGTACCCGAATCCATTGTCCATCATTTGCTTCCAAATCAAAATAAACAGAGCCATCCATAACCATTCTAGCTTGGTCTTCTTCACATTCTGTTTCTTCAAACATTTCCTTCATCTTTAAAAATTAAATTGTTAAGAAAGAATTTCAAAAGATCCAAAAAACTTTATCTTCAAAATCAACGGTTGATTGAGCATCCAAAGTTAGCGTATCCTCACGTGAAAGGTTCCGTTCAAGTTTGACTATAGCTATACGTTTGGATAATGCAATTTGGTCTTCAATATCTAACTAGAAAAATCAAACGAAATTTTATTATTTAAAATGTTTAGGCGCGGGTTATGATCTACAAGGAAATTGTGTCGAATTGGGGTCCGAAAATCATAGATAAAATCAATTGTTAGACAAAAGCTGAGTTCAGATTCGTGATCAACAACGAAAATTAACCTAAAGGATGTTTTCGCAATATTTTAAATTAATTTTTCAACGGGACCCCAATTCGACACAATTCCCATCTACGATACATTTAATAGGATTACATCCCGACCCTGAACCCTGACATTGCTGAAACCTTAAACGGTTATAAACGGGAAAATAAAACAGCGCCGCAGGCGCCAATTGCAAAATATTTAGTTTGATTTTTAACGCCAAAAAATTAAAAATAAACACTTTGCCAACATTTACTAAAATTTGGCAAAATACAAAAATCTTTTTTGGGATAGATCTCACAAAATTCCTTTTGGGATTCTGTCCCGCGCGTTCACAACTGATACTAACTGAGGTACACTTTTGTATGTACTGCCCTACTCTAATTAAAAAAATAATCACCTTATAATACTGAGCACCAGTCTTTTTAGTTAATTCATCAGGATTAACAACTTTTGGAGGAAAGCAATGGTGAGGTAATCGAGGATCTCCACTTGGATATGCTTCCATACACCACATTTGGACCATTTTTAAAAATCTTTCTTTAAATTCTCTAAAATTTTAAATTAAATACAGTCGAAATCATTATAGGGATATCCCCAATACACCTCTATCTAAGAGACGTTATCTTAAAAATTAGTTGGGCATTGGGTGGGGGATGCGCCAATGGACGCTAATTTATTTAAAACACACCTCATTATGAGTTAGGATTTTTTCTAGTCCAAGGGTGTATGCCAATGGTAGTCCCAATGGTAGATATTAGAGATCGAGATTTTTGAAAAGCCTGGGCCTGTTCCTGGGTTCCTGGTTTGATTTATTAACCTGGGACAGACCCTGGGCCTGTAGTCCAGGAACACATACCCAGGAAAAACCCAGGAAAGACCCAGGAAGGTAAAAAATGCCTCTGGGTACAGGACTCTGGCCAGGAAAAACCCAGGCCTTGGTCCAAGCCCAGCTCGATCTCTAGTAGATATGACTGTGAGGTCCAAACTGTATTTACAATTTAAAAAACAAGTAAACATATTTTTTATTTTAAATCAACAAAAATCATATGACAATAAAATAAAAGTACTAAAAAATTGAAACAAACAAAATATTTATTAAAATACCTATATAAAGTTCTCCCCCACCTAATAAACTATTTTCTCGACTAATTAAATAAATAAAGGTTTACTGGCCAAAAAGAAACCACAAACTGCGCAATGAAAAATTTTTTTAAATTGTAAATAAAAAATAATCAAAAGGGAGAAAATGAAAGGAGAAAAAGAAGAAATTTATTAAAAGGTTCACGACCTCTTCATTTTATTTTTTATTTTTTTTTGAACCGGTTCAATCACACACACACTCCCACTAATGACGTTTGCAGACATTTGCAGACGCAATTGCGAAGGGAAAATCGGCGCAAACATTATAATTGGTACGCTTATAAACCACGTCCATTTACCCAATTTTTAGATACCCCTTTGGGGTTCTTTCTATGGAATACTTCATTCTTTACCTCTTGGGACTGAATACCTTATAATGAGGGTTTATTAAATAGAAGATATCTCTTAGGCAGCCGCCCCATTTGTGACATGACCCCATTTTTTGATGACCACACATGACCCTCCATTTTTTTGACCTTGTCAGAGAACAGCAACGCCCTCTTATAGAGCACTCATTGGGGCTTATAAAGAGGGTATTTTAAATAGAGGATATCTCTTAGGCAGCCCCCACCTAGTGACCAACAACTTAATTATCTCAGGTTACAGACAACTCCCCCTCCTATAGACCAAATATTGAGGCCAAATTTAGTGGCGTATGTCGGTGAATGATGTGGGAAGGAATGCCTATCAGGGAAGGTTTGACTTATCTAAGTAAGGGTATCTTATGTTGAAAACTTTAAGTTAAGACGCCAAAAAGTATCGCGCCAAATCTTCCATCCGCAATTGTCCAATCCGCAACTGATGCAATACACAAACAAACAACAATAAATGTGCTCTCCTTTTTTGTAGTTTACAATTTTTTTCTTCGTTTTCTAGTCAAAGCCTTTTGGCTATTAAATAAGATATCAATATTTTCTGATATTCTAAAAATTTTTCTGGGAAAGTTGTAACGTTGCAGTTATCCATTCAACCACCCCCAACTGACTTTTGGTTTTCAGTTAATTTATCAACTAGGAATTTAGATGAAACGTTGTCTGCCTTACAGAGAAATAAATTTAAAAAAGTTTTCTTTTTTAAATGTATAGTAAGAGGGATAACACCTCATTACGGTCAACTGAAGATGCTGGTACGCTCCCAGATGCTAACTGCTAACCCAGCTCCCAACTCCCCCTCCTAACTCCCCCTACTTATCTCACTCCCCCGTTTTGCAAATAGCTAACGAAAAAATAGCTTATGTAGTTTAGCTTTGTTACAATAAAAATTAATTTTAAAGCCTTTTAATCACAAATAAATATTTATATATTTTCACTTTAAACTACAAACAATGAGAAAAAAGGTAGCAAGGTGGTAGCAGTTTTATTTAAAGTTGCAATGAAAAAAAAAATAAAAAAAATTGAAGGAGAGAGTGATCATTAACTTTAATATTTATTTACTTTAAATATTTTTTAGTAACGGTAATATGATCAAAAAAATTTATTTTTTGTTTGTGTGGTTAAATTAATTAGAAAATAATTTTAAAGGCCATTTAGTTAAAATCAAAAATCATTTTTATTTAGCTTTTAAAAATTAAATAAAAATTAAATAAATTATTTTTAAAGTTTTTTACAAAGATCGTGAAACACTCTTGGACGTCACTTTAATAAATTAAAAAAAAAATTTTTTTTTGAATAGGCCAAACTTTAATTTTTAAATAATTTAAAAAATAAATATTTATGTGGAACGCTAAATTAATTTAAATATTTCTTTTAATTTTTAAAATTGTCTTCGATGAGGCTTATAATTTTAGGGTATTTATTATGGAAATTGAAGCTAAATTATAATTTAAATTAAAGTTTAGAATTTGGAAAATGCCGGAGACGGTTTCGGGATTTACGAAAAATCTCCAAAAACGGTTTGAAACATATGTCAAACGATTTGTCACAATAATATGTCCATTCTTTAAATGCGGAAATAGAAAGATATGTCCTCGAAAATTAACGTGAATATCAAGAGATTTAAAGTAATTAAGAGTTATATTGATGATTTGGAGGAATAGAAGGGATATTAAGGAATTTTGGTGAATTAGGAGGGATATTGGTGATTTAGGGAGAACCCGGATCTGGGTTTTCTGGCACGACCCGGACCGGACTTTCGGATAAAAATCCTGATTTTTATAAAATACCCGAAAATCCCGACCGGATCCGGTCCGGGTTTAACCCCCCAATTAAAATTTTATTTCTAGTTTTTTTGAAGATTCTTGAGGAAATTTAAAAATTGGGGAAACCCTAAAATAAATTAAATAATGTTAAAAAATAATTAAATTATTTATTTTTACCTATTTTATTAAAATAATTGGGAATAATTAAAAACAAATTAACCCCTAAACTAAAATTTATTTAGTTTTATAGATGGTATTTTTTAATTATTTTATTATCCAAAAAATATTTTAGTTTATTTTTTAGAAAAACATTTGTAAATTTAATAAAACAATTAAAAATAAATAATAAAATAAATAAAAAATACCATCTGCAAAACTAAATAAATTTTAGTTTAGGGGTAAATTTGTTTTTAATTATTTGAAATTATTTTTATAAAATAATTGATGGCACATAATTTGTATATTTATTTATAATATTATTAAGACTTTTGTATACACAGGTAGGTATAGTAGTGATGCTTGGGTATCCCGATCCCGACTCCCGACTCGGGAAAAGTTCCCGAGTTTTTATCACTACTCCCGAGGTATTTTCCGACCCGTCCCCCGTTTACCAGGGTTTTTCGTCTCCCTAGCATCATTAAGGTATAAATAAGCCTCCTCGATAAGCCTTCCATATTTTTTTTCTAAAAAATAGTAGTTGAATAGAATTAATCCGAAAGTTGAAGAGGCTAGCACAAATTGATGGTTTCAATTCTGAATTATAAATTAAAGAGCTGGCAGGCTTACAATAATTCTGTTTTCCTCTTGCAACCAGAGTTAATTAAAGCAAAAACCCTTATTTGTTAGAAGAAAACTCTTTATGTTCTCTCTTATATTAATTACTAATTTTTTGGCCCAAAATCATCATCAAATGTTTTGTGATAAATAAGTATATTTTTTAAGTTTCTATCTCATTTTTATGTCTTGGGTCTGTCTGAGATTAGCCTAAATCGAAGAACAAGCATAAACAAGAAAACTTTTAAGTAAAAAGTTGGGAAGTTGTCGAAGGAATTGCGGGTAGATCAAACGAAGGGGGAGCAAGAACTGGCTAGGCTAGTATGATCCAATTAGGCTGACATTGAGTCTTTTGTACATCATAAGCACGCGACTGGTTACTAGTAACTCTACTACACAAAAATAAAATAAAATAAAAACACAATTTCCCCGCGGGGCTTCTTCCAACTTCTTCCACTCATAATCCACAAACTCAACCCGACTAAAATCCATTTTGTTTCCTTACTTTTGCAACTTTCCAACTGAGAGAGATTTATTGACTGAATTATTTTTTAGCTTATTTATAGCTTCTTATTGAAGCTCCAAGAAAATTTTCAAAAGCTCCAAGAAAATCCCAAGAATGGTTATAATAATAAATAGAGACAATAAATTAAATTGGCAAGAAATTCAATTTAAACGTTTAGCCTTCTTCTCAATTATTATTTCGACTTTGTGTACTGTTGGTGCTGTTATTCTTGTTCCTTTTTTGTTTAGTTATATTCAATATATACAGTCACAATTACAGGTTGTCTTTAATGAACGTCGAACCTCTTTATAAGACATACTCTAAGGGCAAAAGTAGTCTCTTATACTGGGATGTACATTAAATAGAAAGTATTGCTCACCCTTCGCCTTACCGATAGCTAGCCAATCTTTAAAAAGGTATCTTAAATAGCGCGTACATTAAAATGAGAGGTATCTTTTAAAAAACTGAGTGTTGAATTAGAAAGGAGTGACTAAATAAGGAGGAAAAGTAGCTATTTTAAATGTGAGTCTTAAATTTGGGGGGTTATTGCTTAGGTAATTTTTAAAGGGTATCACAAAACAATAGTGATGGTCGAGCTGACAGTCTCGATTCCTGAGTCGGGAAATTTCTCAGGGTTTTTGAGCTCTTGGTCTCGGGGTTGCTTCTCGGTTTCGACTCTCGGCTCCTTTTAACTCACCATCATCACAAGTATCTAATATTTGGTGGAGGTTCGACTGTAATATTAAAATTCTTCCTAATTAATTTATTTTCTTTCAAAGATTGAATTGGACTTTTGTTCAGAACAAACAGAAATTTTAGTTAAAAAATTTTCGTTAATTACTCCTGAAATGCAAACCGATTTATTTCTGATTAAACGTCGAAGGCGTCGATTTACTCAATTACTTAAAGGAAGTGGAACTGTTGGTAAATTGAAAGAGGAAAATTCTAATACAATTACTCCTCTAAGGCATCAAGGGACTTCTTTACGAAAAAGGTTTCTTGAATTAACCCTCGTTTTTAGATACCTCCAATATTAGATACCTCTTTTTAAGAGACCTATTTTTCGCCCACTGGGCGGGGCAACTATTTAAGTGATACTTTCTATTTAAGAAACATCTCATTATAAGATACCATATCCATAAGACCCCCAATTGTAAATTCACCTCTATTTAAAAGACGATCTTTAAAAAATCCGGGTACTGAGTGAAAGAGTATCTAAGCGATACCCTCTATTTAAGATACACTTCATTATAAGATACCCTCTCTATAATATACACCAATAGAAGATACACCTCTATCTAAGAGACGTTCTTCAACAATTTAGTTATTGAGTGAAGGAGTTATCTAAGCGATACCCTCTATTTAAGAAACATCCCATTATAGAGCCTATGAGGATAAAAATTGGTGTATCTAAAAATGAGGTTGAATTTATATTTAAAAAAATTATTTTCAAATTTTAAAGACCAACAAATACACAGAAAAGAACAGCAAAATATTCTTCCAATGATATTAGCAGCAGTAGTTATTCTTCTAGTTATGTAATGACTCCTTCCCAAACATATCCAGCTTATGAATTAAAAATAAATACTCAAAGTTGTGAGAAGTCTAATCCAGGCCTTCCAGGGCCGCCAGGAAGGGATGGATATCCAGGCATTTTTTTGATAATAAAGTCGGATCTCACTGTAGGATACACACAATATTAGATACACTCTAATTAAGATAGCCTTAAACCTCATTATAAGCTACTCCCTATAAGAGACTGTTGTGTGTGGTATCACTATAGTATAGAAGTCACTGTTAGCATCATTCTAATTGGATCATGCCACTCCGGCTAGTCCCTGATCTCCATCGTCTCGAACAACCTCGAACAGCCCTCGGACATAACGGATACACCTCTAAGAGACGTTTTTTTTAATTTGGTTGGCCACTGGATGCGGCGAGCTGCCTACACGATACCTTCTTTTTAAGCTACACCTCTATATGGCCCGAGTTTTCAGTCCTAAGGGAGTATCTTAATTGTGAAAGACTACATATATAAAAAATATTTTTCTAATCTCTAAATTAAGGTAAAGATGGGGATAATGGAAATGATGGAATTCCAGGAGAGGATGCACAAAATGAGCAGATAATGATTGATTTTTGTTTTGAATGTTTACCAGCTCTTCCGGGCCCTCCTGGTCCTTCTGGCCCTCCAGGCAGTTATGGATTACCTGGTATAAAAGGTCAAGATGGATTGAATGGTCAGCCTGGACAGAGAGGGACAATTGGAGAAAGAGGGCCTCCAGGATTGGCGGGAATACCTGGACAGGTATTTGAATTTATGAATACATATAGGATAAATGATTTGAATTTAAAGACCCTTAGGTGGGTTCATTTTCCATTTATCAACTAGAAACAGGCTGGTCCGACTTTCGACGCTCTCGCGACCCATCGAACAGTAACAATTAATCTTTCAGTCATAAGATAGGAAGTGTGGGTTTTTTGACATCCACAGAATTTTCATTAAACTCTGGGGCCACTGGGTATGAGGATATGCTTAGTAAAAATCAAACCTTGTTATAAAATACAATTTTTAGCCCTAAGGGTGTATCTTAGAGTGAAAAATATATTTATTTAATATTTCAGCCTGGATTGCCAGGAATTCCAGGCGAACTTTATCAACTAGAAGGTTAAGACAATATTATAATTATACATAATCTTCATTATTTTTTCAGTTCCTCCAGGTCCTCCTGGCAGACCTGGATTGCCTGGACCTCAAGGATTACCTGGTGAAATTAAAAATATTTACTCTTTTGAATAAAATTTAAAGGAAATCCTGGTTTTGTTGGTATTAGTGGCCCTCCAGGAATATGTGGCCCTCCAGGGGATCAAGGAAAAAATGGCAGAAATGGAAGAGTTGGAAAACAAGGTCCTCAAGGGCCGAAAGGACTGCCTGGGATACCCGGTGGATGTGTAAGTTTAATAATGTAAAAAATATAAAGTAATACCTATATCAGGGATGTGGGGTGTTACATATAGAGAAAAGTGTCGGGTGGGGTTCGGATTGGGTTATCGAAAATTTCTTGGATCGAGTATTGGATTAGAGTTGCTTGTCCGGGTTTCGAATATCGTGTACGGGATTTTGAGTAAAAGACATCCTTTGGATATCGGATTCGATAAACCTTGTCAACTTTAAGAGCCTTTTACAGAGATCATACTTCCAATTAAGTGTTAAATTAGGTGGGAGAGAACATAAGTGAAAATCCTCAAAGGCCGAGAGGATTGCCTGGGATAGCTGGGTATCTTCTATGTATAATTAAGTTATCTTCCTCCCCCTATTTTAACGTGAAGATATTCTAATATTTACCTAAAACTAATAAAACTAAGAGTATACTTCAAAAACCGTAACTTAAATTAAAGTCAATTTAATTATCTTATTTTATTAATAATTTAGGATCATTGCCCACCCCCTCGAACGGCACCTGGTTATTGACTTCGATAATTAATAATAATAAAAATTATATATAATTAATTAATTATAAAATCAAAAATCATTTATAAACTTGTTTTTATTTTTTTTTAATAAAATATATAAATCAGGTCTTTTAAGAGATTAAAAGATAAATGATAATAAAAAAGGATAAATAATTAAATGGAGTACTTTTATTTTTATATTTATATTTTGATAAACCAGTAAATAAATAAATAAATTTATTTTTACAACAGTCAAAAAGTTATCTGCCAACCTATTAGGGGTGCCGGATGCTAGGAAATCAACGGATATCCGGATCAGATAACCGAACCAAAAATTTCCGGATATCCGGACTTTTTCGGATATCCAGACCCTTCAATCCTATATCCTGCGAATGTATACACCTCAGTGTACATTTTTTAATTTGTTTGGTCATTAGATGGGTGGGGGATGCATAAATGAATGTATTTATTCAATTTATTAATTCGAACTTCGTTATTGTACAAGCCCTTGGGGTTGAAATGAGTTGGTCACTAATGTATCCACATTAGTGTACTACAACTCATTTCAGTCTAATTTTTCAACCCCAAGGGCATATACTATAACGAAGTTAGAATTAATAGATTGAATAAATAAGAAAGACATCGGAAATTTTTTTAATTTTTTACGAATTTAATTTGATCTTGGGGGGCTATTCTAATGAGATTTGTAACTTTTACATATGTATTAGTGCAAATATATTGGGGAATTGACGAAAAAATGAAAGGAGTTCTATCCAAATTTAATAGGGATTTTATCAACAAAGTCTTCCTTACTTTTATAAAGTTTTTTGTTCAAATTTGGACAAATCTATTGTTCCTTTCATTTAGGGAACTTGTGTTAGTATTAGTACCTTTTTAGAGGCAACCATTTTTAGAGGCAACCATTCTTCTCTCCTCTTAAATTTCCTGTTCCTCCTGTTCTTTTCCCCCCTATTTTTCAGTACAAGTATTTATTTTGTTAGTTTTTTAAATATTTTTATTTATTTCCTCAATTTTAATCCCCCCCCCCCAACTCTTTAAATACTCAACTTCTTTTCTATTTTAATTTCCTCCCAAAAAAACTATTTATTTTAGTAGTGGAGTGGTTTCCGCCGATCAAAAATGTTTATAGACAACAAAAAATTTTTTCCTTCCCCTTGGTTTTTTTCCTTCCGCCATTTTGCGCGTATTTTTATTTTTGTTCCACGCTGTTTTTATTTTTAGTTGCTTCTTCTTTTTTTTAAATTCTCCCAGCATTCTCCCTTCATTCTCCCTTCATTTTCCCTCAATTTTTACCAATTAGCACCCACAAAATATATTTTTTGGTAATTCAATTAATTCTTCTCTTCTTCCCCAACAACAGTCTCACCTTCGCGCTTAGCCCACCAAAGTTGTAAAAAAAAGGTAAAATACTTGGAGGTTTATTCAATGAAGCGTGGAATTTATATCGTTACACTTTCCCTTTTAATTTTTCTTTTAATCATTTTTAATTAGAAAAAAATTTTAATATATTTATTTATTTTGTAGATTGATTTTTCCCCCTTTTTATTCAAAATTTGTCAATTTTTGGCAAAAAATTTTTCGTGGAAGATATCCGTGTCAATAATGGGATCAGAACCCTCTTTTCAACCCTCTTTTTATGATATTCATTCGTTCTGCGTTTTTTTTTCAGTCTCTTGCGCTCGTCTCTGATCGGGATGTCTCCAGGGTGCTCCTCCATGCTCCTCCAGGCCTCCAGGTCCTCCTCCTCCACCTCCACCATCCAGGCCTCCAGACGCCTCCTCCATTTAATTGAGGGTTAGCTCAATTAGTTCACCAAGAAAAAAAAGAGAAACTGCTCTCGTTAATTAAACTCAAATTTAATCTTTCCTTCCTTCATCTACCTCTTAAAAAATAATAAATAAGGTGATAACCCTCAGCCTAAATTTATGATACCAAGTGTTGTTTTCTCTGTTAAAAAATATTTTTTTATAAATTCTATCAAGAGTCAAACCTCTTTTTATGATACTCTCTTGAGGATGAAAAATTGTCTCTTATAATGAAGTGTCCATTAAATAGAATTGTCTCTTATATTGAAGTGTCCCCTTAAATAGAGGGTCCCCTATAATGAGGTGTGCCTTAAACAGAATAGTCTCTTATAATGAGATGTCTCTTAAATAGAGGGTATCGTTTGGGCAACACCCCCATCCAGTGACCAATCAACTTTTTAAAAAACGTCTCTTAAATAGAGGTTTTGGGTTAAAAAGAGGTTTTCTTATATACCCCCCCCCTCTCTTCAAAAAATTGGAGGTGTCTTATGACGAGGTTTGGCAGTATTTTAACTAAAATACCTTCAATTTTTTAACAAGAATTTATTAAAATATTTTATTAAAACGGAAATATCTTTAAATATTTATATATCCACTCCCTTCTATCAAAAATGTTTCGCGTTTTAACCAATTCAGCGAATCGCTTAAAGTAGCGACTTTTCTCTCCTTCCTTTTCTCTCTTCCCTTCATTTACCGCTTAAAAGGAAAAAATAAATAAAGTGATTGCCCTACCCAAAAATTTTTGTGCTTTTCTGCTGTTGCACACATTTATATACATAAAAATAAATAAATACGCACATAAAACGAGTTGGAAAATTTTTTATATGTATATTAAAATGCGTGTATCCACCCATAACCGGCCGAGAATTTATGAAGAAAAAAAAGAGGTGAGAAAGAGCCTATATCGGTTATCGATTTTTAAAATCTTTTAAAAATATTTTTATAAGCATTTTTGATCCCGTTTGAATGATAAAATAATCTAAAGAATTTACTTTAGGATTGGGGGTACATCTCACCTCCTGCCAAACTCACTTAAAGCCTAAAACATTTTTAACTTTGAATTTCGAATATCTTGGTATCTTTGGTATCGAATATTTTTAGTATCGAATCTCGAATATCGAATATTTTCGATGCATCTCGACGAGATGGATTCGAGATTCGATAGTTTTAAATGAATTTATAGTTCTACTGTGAGTTGGTTTGAGAAGAGCTGGACAGCTTCCAAAATTCAGAAAAAGAGTACGTTTATCCATTCCAATTTTCCTTTTCCTCCCCTCTCTTTTGGGTTGATTATAAATATGATAGCTTTACAAAGAAGAAATTCTTCAATCAGTTCAAGGAATCAAATGACCCCCCACAAAATTTCGAGCTTGATTCATATAAAGCAGAGGTGGGTCGGAATTCCGATTTCCGACGTTTTTTCCTTCTGATTTCCGAGTTCCGAAAAAAAATTTAATATCCGATTTCCGAGTTCCGACTTTTGAGCCAGTTCCGATTTCCGGCTCTTCCGATTTCCGACCCCTCTGATATAAAGTCAAAAGGAAATGAATTTGGGAGGGGGATAATCAAATACTAATACCTTTTTTAAAAATTCCTTTTTCCTTGCGCAATCCTCATAATTTATTTATTTAATATTCATTATCTAATCGAAACGGACTAATCTACCCCCTTTTTCTTTTTTTTTATTTCTCGACGCGCATCTCCCTCTCTTTTCTTCTTTCCTTTTGGAATTTTTTTTTTCCAAAAAATATTTTATATTTATAATTTACTACATTTCTGTCCCCTTCTATTTAAATATATAAAATATTTTTCGAAGAATTCTTTTTTAAAATAATTTGTAATAAAAAGCGCCTCTTTTTGCTTGTAATTTTTTAATAGTTTCTTTTTGGACAAATAAAAAGTAAAAGACAAATATTCTTCTAAAAATAAATTTATATTTAAAATTATTTAATCAATTTTTTGGCAATTTATTTACTTAGAGAAAATTCTGCCCGATCTCGTTATAGTTGGAGAGCAGGAAAAAATTTAAGATCAAATTCCAAGTCGAATATTTTTTTATCCCAAATTAGAGATCGGTAAAATCGCATTCACGGGATCCCGTAACGGGATTTTTTTCAACATTTTATACGGGACGGGATCCCGCGGGATTAATCCCGTAAATCCCGGTAAACCGTCGCTTAAAAATCGGGATTCTGGGACGGATCCCGTAAAATCCCATGCGGGATTCCGTCCCGTGCCGATCTCTATCCTAAATAATTCCAATCGATTCAAGAAATTATTTGATTTCGATCAATATTCGATCGAATGTTCGATTTGTCCCATCTCTCGTTAAGATTACTCCCAATAAATACACATTTTAATTTATCAAAATAAAGCTTAAATCCACTAAAAAAGAGTCAAGTTTTCGATAATAATAATAATTTTTGATGAAATTTAAAAAAAAAAACTCAATTTTTGGCGATTTAATTCAAAAAACTAGAGAAAAAAATTAAAATTTTTAAACTAAATTCCATGAGGAAAATATTAAATTTGTGTTATTATTTGCAAGAAACTTTTTAAATTTGTAAAAAAAAATAAATTGATAATTTTACAAAAATAGTAAGTACTCAATTCTTTTAACTATTTTTTTTAAATTTTTTAATTTATACTTGTTTTTTTTTATTTTCTTTAAATTTTACATTCAATTAAATTTTCATTTTTATTTTAAAAATTAAAAATACTTGTGTTCAATTTTAAGTACTTTTTTAAATTTTCTTTTTTTTTGCGTTGAAAAATTTTATAAAATAAATTTTTTTTTATTATTTATTTTTTTTCAATTTAAGTTTTAAATCCTCAAATACACCGTCCCAAAGATGAGAAGAATTTTTAAAAATATTTTACAAATATTTAACTATTTTTTTTCCTCTCCTACATTTTCTAATTGTTAGTTATCTTAAATAAATTGTATAATCTCTTGAAAATCCCCTCAAAATAGTGGCCAACCAGACTAAAAAAAAGTACACTAAGCCTGGGATTTTTTAAATCTTCCTCTTTTTTAAAGATTAAACGGATTATCACTGATATTGGGATTAAGTTTCAGTTTTGTGGGGGCAATCTTGGTATCGAGTTTTGGGTGATATCTCTTCCGCTTCCGTTTTCCGTGCCTACCTTCGTCTTTTTTGGCTCTCCCGTTCACGTCTTCTTTCATCTTTTTATTTATTTTCTTCCGTTTTCTTCTGCCTCCCGTCTTCCGCTTTTAAAATGAGGCAAGGCTTGGTCTCTAACAATTTTTAAATTTTATTTTTAAATAATTTTTTTAATTTTAGGTATTTATTTAAATACCTTTTATTTCTTAGAAACGAGAAAAAATCTTCAATTTTTCGAATGACTATTAGAATATTATTAAATTCTTCTTTACAAATATTTAATAAAAAATCTTTAATTTTTCTCTTTATTTTTTCCCATATATTTTTGCTTTTTTGTTTTACTACTTTAGTTGATTCTCAAGAAGCAACGGAAGGTGGATGCCCTTCAGGGTAATTTTTTAAATATTTTTAAAATAAAATTAAACCTATATTTGAGAGAAAACAGAATTTATAAATATTACCTTGTTAGCTCAGTCGGTAATGCTTCCACATAGGTCTGTGCGAGGTTGTTGGTTCGATACCCTGACCCTGCCAACAATTTTAGATAAAATTTCAGAATTATGTATTTTATCAAACAATTGTTTTTGTGTTAAAAAAAATTTTTTTTTAATTTTTTTTAAATTAAAAAATTTTATTCACGCATTTTCTTTTAAATCCTTTTTTTATTTTTTTCATTAAAGGACATTTTTATCACATTTCTTTAAATTTATTTGATAATAGACATTAACCCAATTTTTAAAATGAAAGATTAAACGGGTTATCCATCTTTTTTATGGAAAAAAAAAGATTTGGTTTAAACGGAAGTGGAAAAAAATAGAAAAATGTGTGAATTAAAAAATAATTATGTTTAAATATTTAATTATAATAATCTTATTTTGGGAAAATTCTATCGAGACGTGTCCTTTTTCCCAAAAATTTTTTCAAATTTCATTTTGGATTTTCGGTTTATTTCTGATCAGTATTAGAGGACTATCCGTAACTACGGATAGTAGATGACTAAGGATTTTTTGATTGCGAAGAGCCCTGCTATGGAAACACATAAAAATCATTTAATTTCAAAAATAAATTAATAAATATTCTAAAAATGGACAGAATTTTAATTAAAAAAATTCTTTGTAAAAAAATTTTTTTTTAGTTTTTATAACAAAACTGGAAAGGACCAATGCGAGGAGGAGTGCGATAAGGTTGGAACGTTAAATTTTATAGAATAAAGAGGACCCCTCTTGAGCGACATATCTCATGTTAATTGTCCGTTCATGTGGGAGTGTCGTATAGATGAAATAGGGGGAAGTATAAGTGAGATCGCCCCCCCCTCCTTCACATTTGTCTCCCAAATTTTTTGTCCCCACACATCCCCTCACATTATCCCAATTTGTCCCCCACAAATGGGACGTTGGTCCTTTTAAAAATTAAATAATTTTTTAAAAAATTAACAAATTTTAGGAGTTTTATTATATTTCTTTATTCACTTATGGAGCTTGTGTGAACGCACCTACTCGCTCAATTGGAAAAAATGCACCACAATGTTGGATAAGATTTTTTATTTCTAAATTTTTTAAATAAAGGTAATTTAACATGTGGTATTCGTTTGCAATTGTGGGCAACTATTGCTATTTTTGTGGTTAATTTTTTATTTTAATTACATATTATAAGAAATCTTCGGGTATCCGGATCAGGGCTGTCTGCAGATGAAAAAAAATTTGCGCAAGTCCAAAAAATTTCGCAATTGCGTACAGACCTGATTCGAATACGCAATCGATATCCAAACCGAATATTTCAGAGATCCAGACTTTCGGATTCAGACTTTCGGATCCGCCAACCTTACTAGATAAACCTCTATTTAAAATTTAATATGTCCCTCTAATTCAGGGTGTGGGCTCTAATTTTTGGAAATACGGTATTTAAAGATAAGCATGGATACTACTTGGATGGAGGATTATTGTTGATAACCGGATTAGGGCTGTTCGTAAATAGAATCTCCCCGATTCAGTCCCTTCCCCCTCCCCCCTCCTCCCCTCAATACACCTACTTTATTATCATATACCTTCTCGATAGGATCCAGGCAGTTTATATTTATAACTGGTATTTGTTTGATATCAGCCCCTGAGGGTTTATTTAAAAATTAGGTTTTCCTTAATCCAAAAAATATTTTTTTTAATTTATTAAAAAAGATAATAGCCGCAGCTCTAGTTAGCTTAATACTTTTATTGCCAATGTGTGTCACAAATTGTCTTTCCTGTTTGCATTCAAAAAAAGCTAGTAAACACAGTAGACGAGTAGCTATGGAACAACCTAGTAAAGAACAACAAATGGCTACACTTTCATACAATCCTTATGTAAATTTTTTGTTCAAATAAATTTTAAAAATAAAAATATTTTAATATGCCATAAATGGATTAATTAAAGTCCGGCTTTATTAGAAGCCCACACATGGAGCCTTGCAAAATTAGTTAAGCTTTAACGATATTTTTGCTGTAACTCATATATGTTCCCCTAAGCTTGTAAAATTCAAATTTAAAAACTTTTATAATAAAATCGAATCTTGTTAAACTAGTATAAGTCCTTGAGGCTGAAAAGATCGTTAAACTAAAATGTTGGGATCTCTTACGCTTACATCTACTATTTTTAAAAACCCTGATATGTACCAGAGGTCGGTCGGAATTCTGATTTCCGACAGTTCCTATTTCCGATAGTTCCGATTTTCAAGTTCCGGTTTCCGACATTTCCAATTTCCGATAGTTCCGATTTCTGGCAGTTCGGAGTTCCGACAGTTCCAAGTCCCGCAGTTCCGATTTCCGGCACTTTCGTAATTTCCGACCGACCTCTGATATTTACATTCGTGTGGGTATACTATAACAAGATTCGATGGACCTATTTTTTATTTAATTTTCAGGCTTATTGGCCTTACTACGGACGTTGAGATTTGCTTGATTTTTATTATTGAAATTAAAATGCAAAACCCATATCTTCTTTCTTGGTGTTTTTTTCTTCTCTCAAATTCTTTCTAAAAATTAATTTTAAAAAATCAAAAAATTTCTACTTCAAAAATTAAAGAAAATTTTTTAGTTTTTTTGCAGAAAATAAAATTTAACTGCTCAATAATTCTCGAAAATTTTTATTTTTTTAAAAAGTTGTATTTTGCATTATTTTTCATTATTGTTCTTGCCTCTGCCACATTTTTTTGTCTCCATTTATTTTTAAAAAATAAAGAATAAATAAATTTTTAAGATTTTTAAATGATTTTTAATTTTGAATTCTTAGGAACCTATTTTTACTATGGACATTGAAATTTAATTTTAATCTGGTTAGCAACTCCCTCTACTCCATCTTAATCCTTCAATACTTCGATATCATCCCCACATCCTTTTAATCTCATAATATCCTTCATACCGCCCCTCACCCCAAATCCACAGGTGTTTTTCTCTACTTGAGATGATGTCATGAGATTTGAGGTCTTTCCAATCCTCCATGAGATTTGGAGGGATTAAGTAGGATATCAGGGGATTTAAAATGAAGCCAAAGGATTTGGAGAGAAAAATTATATATTTGATCAAATATTTGATAATTTTTCGTCGATTTATTTGATTTTAATTTGATTTTCCCGATCTGCCATATCCATCCATTTTTCGTCATATTTGAGATATATCTCATAAAGTACGATTTTTTCGGTATCTGTATCTATAACAGGGCTGGACGCAACTGTGGATTGCGGATTGCTCGAAATTGCGTTTTTTGGCCCAGCGGACTGCGACTGCGGAATTTTCAGTTGCGTCCAGCTCTGATCTAGAAGCGAGGGTAAAAAGGTAAATTTATCTTAAGTGTCTTACAAAATTAACAAATTTAATTTTTAAAAACAAAATTATAAAAAAATAACTAATAAAATAAATTTTTCAATTTAGTATACTATGTATACAAATTATAAAAAATTAAAAATATTATTTGAGTGATTGGTCAATAAAGCAACCAAAAATATCAGAAAATACTAAAAATAATATTTTTACAAAAAATAAATCCCTAGGGTAACAAAAATGAATTCTTTTCTTCTTTCAATATTTTTCAAGACCAATTGTGTGGATATTTTCTTCAAGAAAAAACTAAAAATAAAATTGCCCTATTTTTTGCTTTTTTTTGTTCTTTAACTATATTTCCCCTACTCTTGTCTTTTGCTTTTAATCTAAGTCCTGCTTTATCTTCCTTCTCGTATATTTAGATGAAGAAGCTCCCCTCCCTCCCTGCTACCCCACTCTCCCTCCCTAGCTTCCCCCCCCCCCCCACTACCCCTCATCCCCCCTCCTCTCCCTAAAAATATATCAGAAACAGACACACACACATTTCCACCCTCCAAAAATTGCCAAGAGAGTTTTTAGCCTTTTAGCAGTTTTGGCCCTTCCTAAAGTCCTTTAATTCCTCAACTAAGCCTTGTTTTCTGATGGCGCTGATTGTCTCTATGAAGGAAGAAAAAAAGATTTTTTGAGGCTTTAAGGGAGAGAATGACTAAAAAAAGGGAGAGAGTCGTCTGTCCTTTCATGCAATGACTCAGTTTTTAGTGTTGCCTACTTTTATGGCTACACAACTGTTGTTTTTTACCTTCCCAAAAATTTCTTCAATAAATGTTTCACACATTTTGTGTTAGAGAGGAAAACGTGTTCAAAAACTTTAAGTTTTGTTAATTCCAAAAATTATATTTTTTACTCTTATTAATCAAAAATTTGTTCATTTTTATTAAATTTCCGATTAAAAATTTCAAAACAAATTTGTCAACAATATACCGTCAAAATTCAATAATTTCCCCTTCTCATTTAATTACCCCCTCTAGCCAGGGTGGCCCCTTCCAAAACACTAAAATAGGGCGCAGCCACTTAAAAATAGGGCAAATATAGGGCGAAATCGGCCAAATATAGGGCAAAAATTAGGGCATAGCTTTAAAAGCTTAAACATAATTAAAATTTAAAATAAAGCGAAAATTTTGGAAGGCCAAGAAGCCACATTTCACCCATCTTTAGCGCCGCAGGCAAAAATTTGAGGATTTTGGGAGGCTAGAAGCCAAATTTCTTCCATTTTTGCGCCGCGGGCAAAAATTTTGAAGATTTTGGAAGGCCAGGAAGTTAGAAATCCTTCATTTTTACCATTTTTTAAACAAAATCCGAAGAATTTTTTAAATTTTACAAGATTGTAAAAATAGGGCAAAAATATGGCAAATGAGAAAATAGGGAAAAAATAGGGCAAAAAGGTCAAAAATAGGGAAAATCCTCTAGAAATAGGGTAAAAGGGCCACCCTGCCTTTAGCATGAGTTGAAGCAATAATTACACAAGGTATTTATTTGAGCGTATACGGTATCTTGAGAGTATCGCTTGCCAAAACAAGCCAGATATACCCTATATAGTCGGACCTCACATGACGCTCAGCCACCCTCGGCGTCAGGGCTGAGCGTCATGCGTTTTGCGTTTGGCGTCCATTTTTGGCCTATTTTTGGCGTTTAGCGTTCGGCGTTCCACGCGAAAATTTTATCCTACAATGAGTTTATCTTAACTTGGAGATATCAAGGTCCCCCTATTCATGGCCAACCAAATTTTGAAATCGTCTCTTAAATGGAGATATTGTATCCAGTACTGAGAGAATCTTATAAAGCGGTTCGACTTCCTTTTATTTTTATTTGTCTATATATATTTTTAGCTTTTAAAAAAGCGTTAAAAAAAGTCTTGGTATAGTCTCATCCCTCCTACTTCATTTTGCCATTTTTCAGCTATTTCATCGGTATTTTTCTCTTTTTTGAGAAAAAATAAAGTAAAAAAGGAAGGGAGCAGCCAAAAGCACAAAACTCTGTTTGATGCTTCCACAAAAATGCCATGACAATTTGGCATGGTTTTTCCCTTCTTTTCCTTAAGGATTTCAATCCTTTAGCGCCCTCCAAACTCTTTAAAAATAAAAGCAGTGCCCAAAATTTCGATTCTTTGTTGGCACTCCCGCCAATAGTCGTCCACTCATTTTTGCTTTAAATAGCTGCCCCTAACAAATAACCACATAGCCTACTTTTTGTCGTCTTTTGCTGCTTATTTTAGAGCATCTTTTATCCAACACCAAACGTTGCCAGGTGGAGAATGAAGAGAAAATAAATCTAAAAGTGTGGTCCTCAACATTTTTACTTTTTTTTCTTGGCCATCTTTTATTTTTGGACGATTGTCCAGTGGAGGTAAATGCCTTCCTTTAATTTTTCTATTGCTTTTACATTTTCTGACAACTAAACAGTTGCTACATATTTTTATATTTAAGTCGATCATACACATTCTGTTATTAGCGTAATTTTTGTTAGATTTTGTTTTATATATTGAAAAGAATTGTACAGTCAGACCTCGCTTATAGGAACAGAAATTTTGGCCGGAACCGGCTGGAACCGGATCCAATTTGAGTTCCGTATCCCGGAACCGGAGCTTTTGCTTGGTTCCGGCCCGGAACTGGAACCGGAACTTCCGGTGAACCACTGTTATGGATGCATCTTTGGAGTTGGAAAATTGTCTCTTATAATGAGCTGTCTCTTAAATAAAGAGTTTCCCTTAGGAAGCTTCTCTCCATCCAATGGTCAGCCAAATTTAAAAAGCGTCTCTTAAATAGAAGTTTATCTAGTTATTGGAGGTATCTTATAGTTAGGTTTTGACAGTATTAAATACAGTATACAGGCGACTACAGTATACTTTTATCCAAAAGATCCATTGTAGACAAAGGATTTGTTCTGGATAATTTCACTAAATAAGGCCATTCAACAGCAACAATTATATAGCCTTTCTCTACTCATCTATACACAGCTTATTTCTTAAATCCAATCTCCAATCCAGTCTTATGCTCAATTCCCAATGACTTTTCTATGTCCATCTGGTTTATTCTCTTTCACTAATTTGTGAATGAATTAGCTATTTGTATTTGGGGTTTAAATATGTACTAGCTTCTTTCTACATAATCCCGGATACGGAAGCTTGTCGTAATTATGAAAAATTAAATTAGAAAAATTATTGACCTTGACGGGATCCGAAACTCATTAGAAATGCGCTTACCTAACAATAATTTTGCGCTGCAGAATTCAATTGGGGCAATTAGGACTTCGGGGCAATTAGGACTGTCTGCAATGGGGCTGGGCGAAATCTAGATAAAAAGCAAAATGCGAAACTTTTCGCGCTGAAAAATGTGAAAAAAGCGAAAATTGCGAAATTAGCCCAGCACTGTCCGCAAGTTTTTACGTTGCGGACTGTCCCCAGTCATTAATTTCAATTTTAAAATTTATCTAAAATTTTCTTTCTGTTATAGGCCAGATTTTTATTTATTTATTGTTAGTTAGTAGAGAACTGTAAATCAACGTTTTCGAGTGATTCGTAGAGAATAACACCAATTATTAACAACAAACTAGCATAGCCAAGATGGGTGTGTTAACATTAAACATCGAATGCCATGAAAAGGCTATCAAGAAAACTATGCAGTTTGAGCCAAGGACGCTCGTCCACGATGCTTGCCGAATGGTTAGGGATAAATTAGGTCCAATGCACGGAAATCGTTAGTGTTTTTTCTAATATTTTTTACCCTATATTTAATTTTTAAGCTAACGATTATGGCCTTTTTCGGGTAGAAGATGACCCAACAAAGTGTGTTTGGATGGAAAATGGACGAACTTTGGAATATTATTTGATACGTAATGGGGTTAGATTATTGAAAAAAATTTTTTTTTAATTTTTTCCTGCAATTAGGACACGTTGGAATACAAAAACAAAATTCGGTCACTTCGAGTGAGAACATTAGACGGTGGAGCAGTTAAAACAATTTTTGTTGATGAGTCACAACCAGTTTCTCAATTAATGGTTTAAATTTTATTATTGACTTTTAAAAACTTAAAAACCTCCCTATATGATTCACCTATGGGAGAAAGGATTCCAAGGGCGTATCCAGGGCTCGGAGTTCATTGGAGCATAAATGAGACCGGTTCCAAAATTTTGGCGTTTTAGACGCAAATTTTTTTAATGTATAGTTTTTGGAGTCATAGGTGGTAATTTTAGAAATTTTATCTTATATTGAGGTGTACTTTAAAAAGGAGGTGTCGCTCCAGTGGCGATTCCAAGGGCAATCCAAGTTCCGGATTTCACTTGGGCTTGGGGTTTGCGCCAAAATTTTGGCATTTTGAACGCAAAATTTTTTTCTTGGAAAATTTTGAGAAATTTTATCTATACCAAGGAGTACCTTAAATAGAAGGTATTGCTCCATTAGCTAACCAAATTTTAAAATGATTCTTAAATTTAGTATCCGATTTTGGGGCTATTTTTAGATGAGGTCTGACTGTAGGTAATGGTATTTTTCTTAACTTTGCCTCATGAAAAATAAGGGAGAAAGGGAAGGAAAATGAAAAAATGGACAGAAAAAAAGAGGGGGTACGAAACCGATTATTACCCGACTCTATAATATCAACTTAAAGGTTGTTATTTGTTCAAAAATGGGTATCGCAAATCATGACGAATATTCACTTGTTCGAGGATTTTCCCCTGCCTTGGATGGAAATGATGAAAATGGTTACGGACGTGATCAACATCAACAAATTCAGCGAAATGACAGGGAAAGAACCCCTTATTCAAACGGGACAGATCAATATGATGGGGGAACAAGAAGTTATCAGAAAGGAAAAGGGGGCATAGAAAATACTTTTATGAATACAATTGGGCGTAAAAAGGAACGTCAAATACAACAATTAAGGTTAAAATTTTGTAAAGTTTTAATAGTTTAATAAAATTAAAATAATTTTTTGGAATTTGTAAAGAAGTCACGGCTCTTTTTCAGTAGTTTTTAGTAGAGTTTGAATCCTGCAAAAAACCGGGTTTTCGGGGTTTTCCCGGAAGACCCGGCCCGGGTCGAATTGGAAGGAAAAAACCCCGGATACCGGGTCTGGCAAATTGAAAAGTTTGAACTCTAATTTTCAGTGACCCTTATATGTACCTTTCTCTTTGCTTTTCTATTGATTGAGATAACTTGGGGAACTGATCATAGGAAATAAATATTCGATAGGATAATCTTGCATACTTCGAATTTAAATTTTTCCGACATTTTTTTTGTAAAATTAAATAAATTTCGAATTTCAAGTTTTTCTCCTGTTTCCTATTTCTAGGAGAAACACATCAGAAAAAGTGCCCAAAAAGTTTCATTTTCTTTACATGATGCTCCCCATCTTATCATAATTAAACATAATTTTTATCAACAAAAAATTATTTTTTAGAGCAAAATTACACACTGAAGAAGAAATTCATTGGGTAGATCATTCAAAAACTTTGCGTGAACAAAACATTGGAGATAATGAAGAATTGACTTTAAGAAGGAAATTTTTCTTTTCTGATACAAATGTGGATACAAGAGATCCTGTCCAATTAAATTTGGTTTCTCAGAAAAATTTTTTTCTAAAATTATTTCCCTATAGTTATATATTCAATGCCGTGATGGAGTTCTTCGTGGTTTACATCCAGTTAGTAGAGATACGGCAATTAAATTGGCAGCGTTGCAGTGTTATATAGAATATGGACCTTTTGAAGAAGGAATACAGAGAAATGTTGATGCAAAAAATTTATTGCCCAAAGAATATTCGAGGGCGAAAGAACTTGAAAAAAATATTATACAAGTAATTTCTAATTGAAAATTTTTAGTACTACATAGTCTCGTCCGTTTTCTCCTATTTTTTCATTTATTCATAGGTTTTATTGGTGTTTTTGGGTTATGTAATATTGTAGAGGTTTGGACCTGTAGAAGCTTGATCTGGGACCATCCTCTGTGAATTACATAACTGATGGTCATTTGCAACGCTTGGAATCAAATTTGCTCATATCCCCCTAATTTTGTCCTCGAATTACGAGGTACTATAATTAACAGAAGCGTCCAAGCACTGTTATATGTAAGCCTTTGTAAGCTTTTATATGAGTGTTCAAGCCTGGTCATTTATTCTTGGGTTTATTGTTAGTCGGAAGAAACCTGGTTTTCCATGTCTCAACCCCAAACATTTTTACAGAATTATGGATATCAAAAAAAATTCCCTAGAACCGTCAATTATAAACGAGACTTGCCACTTTTTAAAAATAATTTTAAAAAGTTTATATTTTACAGGAATATCGTGAATTAATTTATGAAGATTCTGCTGCCCCAAAAAAGAAATATTGTGAATTATGTCAATCATTGCCAACTTATGGAGTTTCTTTCTTTTTGGTCAAGGAAAAAATGCCCGGGAAAAACAAACTTATTCCACGTTTATTGGGCGTTAATAAAGAATCTGTGATGCGTGTGGATGAACGAACAAAAGCTGTTTTGAAAGAATGGCCGTTAGAACAAGTAAATTTTTTTGCGGCTTTAAAAGTCAAAACGCGGAAGACTGCCGAGCGGCTCCCTCTCCCCTAGATGAGCAAAAAGTGTGAATCACCAATAAATCAAAAAAGATTTTTAATCGGCGGCTCTAAAAGGGGAATTTCTGCCTTCTGGGCCGAGTACAGCCCAAGTAGGCGCGCGGCCATAACGGCAAAAGCCAAAACTTACTTCAAGATTTCCGAATCTTACCAAATTTAGTATTAAACGATTCCTCTCATCGAGCTAGAGAAATTGGTCTCAAAATTAATAAGGGCTAGAAATTTATGGCTTTACTTGGGCGTGTCCCTTCTGGGCGATCTTACGTCTTTTTTTACTGCCAAAAAATTCTTGATACCCCCTCGTTATGAGTTGAGAAACCTTTTCTTTTTCTATTTTAGGTACGTCGATGGGCTGCTTCATACAAAACTTTCACCTTGGATTTTGGTGATTATAAAGATGGATATTATTCTGTTCAAACATTGGAAGGCGAAAGAATCGGACAACTTATAGGCGGTTATATTGATATTATATTAAAGAAAAAAAGAATTGTTGACCATACTGGAATTGAAGGAGATGAAGGGGCAACAATGGTTATCCTTCAATTATTTTTTAAATTGACTTTACTTTCAAAGGTGGAGGATATTGTCGCTCCAGCGAGGGCAACATTGCTTGCCCATAGCGAGCCAACACCGATAATTGCTCAAGAACCTGGGGGTACAATGTACGGAATTTATAGACCAGAAGCTGGAACTCCTCCACAGGGTTATTTTGAAGGAGACATTTATTTGTTAAAAATTTAATATTTAGCACCTCAATACGGGGGAGTGAGTGGAATGATATTGGCGCAAAGGATGCCTAAAGGTGAAGACATTCGCTATTTGGATTCTAGAGAAAGGAGTCAGCGAGCGCTTGTGGGAACTATTGAAGCGACTATAAGGGCGGTTGAAGAGGCTGAAGAGGAAATTGCCAAACCCCCACAAATTGATCTTCCAAGGTTTGGAGAAACTCAGCGTCATTGGAGGGTAGAAGTTGAAAAGGAATCTGTTGGAGATAGATTGGCTGCAATGGGCGCTGCTACAGCCGAGGTATAAAATTTATTGAAATAGAAAATTTTAATTAAAAATATTAGGTAGTACAACTAACAGCTATCCCAGAAGAATCAGCTGTTGATACTCGTGTAGGGAATGCAATAGCCACAATTGGTTCCAACCTTCCAGAAATGGGCCGAGGAGTCCGTGAATTGGCCGCTCTAATGCCTGATGAACATCGTGCTGGCGATTTAGTCGATGCTGCCCGAAAACTTTGCAATGCTTTTGGAACTTTCTTGGATAAAGTTCACCCAGAACATCAAGAAAAACGTGCAAATATTCTTTCTGCAGCTAGCCGTGTTGGTGAACTTTCAAATGATGTTTTAAGTACAATTCAAGAGAGAACTGAGGAAGAGCTTTCCTTCCATGATGAACTCAATAGGAAGGCTCGTGCCGTTGCAACAAGTACAGCACAGCTTGTATTGCAGTAAGAATGCTTGTTAGGACTTAAAATGATTTTTTAATTAATAAAGAGCAAAAACGGTTTCTGCTGACTGTGATGACCCTGGACTAAAGGATCAGGTGATCCAAAGTGCAATGAAAACAGCATATGCAACTTCAGAATTGGTTGCATGCACCAGAGTTGTTGGTCCAACAATCGAACATCCACCATGCAAAGAACACTTAACGGATGCAGCACATTGCGTAGCTAGAGCAGTTCACGAACTTTTGGAAGATGCAAGCAAAGCCTCACAACAAGCTCCACCTGAAAAAGCTGAAAACTTTGAGCATTTACGTGAATCTGCATCACGTGTTACTAATGCTTTAGATGATATAATTGGGCATGTGCAAGGTGGTCCATGGGGGTATCATCGGAAAACGCAACAGGATTATACATTTGAACGTTTGTTTTCTTTGCTTGCTTGACATTCTTTTTTGTTTTTGTAGAAATTGTTGAGTCGTCAAATCGTATATTGGCACATCCTGGAGGTGCTCCTCCCGAATTATTCCGTTATTCTGAAACAGCAATTCGAAATTCACAAATGTTGGTCGATGGGATGGAACAGGAAGCTAATAAACTTGATTCAGTTCAGCAAAGGGAGAAGTTACTGAATGCAGCACGTATTTATTTTTAAATTTAGTCGGTTACTAAATTTGATTTTTTGAAGGTTCGGTGGCGCAAGCAACGAGTTCAATGATCGATGCGACAAAAGAATGTCAAAATCGTCCGGGAGAGGCAGAACCGCAGCTAGCGCTCAAAAGTGCAACGTCACAACTTGTTCAGGTTCCTTTAAAAAATTTTAAAAATATATGTTAAGCAAGTATTTTATATTTATTTTTATAATTGTAATTTAGCCAGCAAATCGTCGAAGAGAAGCAAAGGCCAGCTGAATAGGTCAAAAAAAAATGGTGCCAAAGCCATTTATCAGATTAAAAGGCTATATTTTTTTGTTTAAATCTTTCCTTCTATTTTATTTTAGACTTTTTAGTATTAGTAGAATTATAATATTAAGTTAATACATTATCTAGTTTCTCTAGTCTAATCACATCTTTTCTATAATATATTGCAATATTTGTTAAATCTCGGAGTTATTATTAAAGGGGGTGGCTTTTATGCATCAAGTTTCGATTTCTAGTTAAAATCCTAACTCTAATATGCTCATATATTAACTACCATGCTCATTCTCATCTTCTATCTTGGAAGATGAGAATCTTCCAAGATAGAATCTTCCTTTTGCTAACAATAAGTTTAAGTTACTTTTCTTGAATCATCTGCCATTTTTATTACATTAACATGGAAATTAATCATTTTCTATATTACTTTGTTTCCCACACATATCTTCCTTTTATATCTAATCCAGAATACATGCTTCTGTCATTTTATGTAGTATGAATTTATAAAAAAATAAATTTGTTCTAAAAATTGCCTTGATAAAAAGTTGGTATTTACACAAAATTATGGTCAAATCGGAAGCTATAATGTGGTTCTGCACCTTTTTGGGTGAGATTTTTCCCT